GGCAAAATTCAGTGCAGGAGCTGGCCCTGTTTCAGCTACCACAAACCACAACACACCACGAGCAACTAGAGTATTCTGGGACTCTATTTCTGCCTAACAATGAAAATTTTGAGAACTATGACAGATGATCTCCTGAGGACACATCTGACAAATTTAACTGAATTTAAAAATGAAGTCAGACCTTTTCTGATAGGAAGTTGAGTCTAGGGGCTCCTGGGTGGCTCAGTGGTTGAGCGTCGGCCTTTGGCTCAGGGTGTGATCCTGGGGACCCAGGATTGAGACCCACATCGGGCTCCCTGCATGGAGCCTGCTTCTCCCTCTGCCTATGTCTCTGTCTCTCTGTCTCTCTCATGAATAAAGAAATAAAATCTTAAAAAAAAAAAAATCACTGTAAAAATCGAAACCAAACTGACATGTTACTCAAAGCTATGGTTTCACGCCAGCACCATCAGTATCATTTGGGAGCTTCTTAGGAAATAGTCTCAGGACCACCCCAGAGTTGCACTTATGCAAGAGCCTCGGGTAATCCTTTGGTACATTAAAGTTTGAGATGCGGGAATTCCTGGATGGCTCAGCGGTTTGGTGCCTGCCTTCGGCCCAGGACATGATCCCAGAGTCCCGGGATCGAGTCCCACATCAGGCTCCCTGCATGGAACCTGCTTCTCCCTCTGCTTGTGTCTCTGCTTCTCTGCCTCTCTCTCATGAATAAACAAAATCTTAAAAAAAGGAAAAGAAAAAAAGAAGGTTGAGTCTAATTTGGCCAGCTGGCCTAACAAAGCAGGTTGGTTTTTAGCCAGTTAGGTTATTCGGTAGACATTTGGCAGAGGTTACAGGGACTTAAACTGCAAATCCAAAATCTTGACCAACACGTGCTTGAAACCAGTGCACAATAAATGATATGGCCAGAAAGTACCTCCTTTGCAACTATTTAAATTTAAATTAGATGCCAATTTAAAAATGTGAGGGTAGTTTTTCAAAAAATTTTCAGGAGGGCTACATGATAAAAACTTTAAAGATCACTGCTCTATGATACATACAGGCTGTGGAAACCACCTACTCTGAAGGCATTTACCAGGCTACTGGAGATAGTCTGAATATGGCTCTGCCCAAGACAGGAGGATGTAATCCAACCACCTTTCATAGTTCTTTCCTAGCTCTTGAATCCATAAAAAGCCAACACAATGAAAAGGAATTGACCGGCTCACTTGTAAGCAAAGTTGAGACAAGCACCATGGGAAAATACAAAAGATAAAGAGTAAGTGGTTCCTCTGCCCTCAAGGGATTTGCAATTCAGTGGGGGGAGTAAGACAGAAATACAAAGAACTGATGAAATGCAATGAATGGAAAAAGTGCTGAAGGAGTTAGTGCAGACCAGGAAAATCCCTCATAGACCTAAAAAACAAAAGGCATCAGTGTTTTAACATTGACTATTAACAAATCTTGGACTCCCACTAGAGTCTAAGAATTATAAATAGTGAAGGTCCAGGATATGTAGGAGTTTCTAGTTTTTTGCTTTGGCACATATATGAATCATACACTTTGCAATTAGAATTGGCAGGGAATGGCACTTAGCTATTGAGTGAACCAGGTAACTACCTGGCATCTATATCTCTTAACCACACACACATTAATGCTCTAGGCATCATCTCCATAAGAGAATGGCTCTCAGAATAAAGTCAGCTGCTACTGCTATTGATGAAAGTAAAAAAAAAAAAAAAAGTAACATTAATAGCAAATAATGGTTATCACTAGAAAAACAAATTTTATGGAAGTGAATATTCAAAAGTGCAAGATTCACAAGTTTCAGAGTGTATACGTGGAAAATGCCAAGGCTCTACTATGGCTGGGTTTGATTAGACCAGTTTTTATTTACAGGGCAAGAGACAGAAGGGCTCCACTGCCATAACAAGAAAATGAGATATTAATCCACAAGCCACGCAAATCACGAAAGGTGAAGGACTGCAGACGGAGAGATGAGGTGAGTGCCACCATCAGTGCGAAGTAAAACTTGGAAACAAAAGGGAGCATCAGAAATGGAAAGGGAGATCACTGACCAGGTGGAAAAAAATGCCAAAGGACTTGGGAACCCACTGATGGTGAGGAAGCAGGAGGGGTGGAAAAGTTTGCCTTCGAGGTGGAGTCTCATGTGGCCAAAAGATGGGGAGGCCAGTACTAGAAACAGGAAAATTATTAAGAAAAGGCATGGAACAGATACTGGGGCCTGATATACTTTTTGGAAAAAAACTATAAAGCAGAAAGGACAAGGAACTGCTGCCCCTAACACCCAAAGTTCAAAGAGCCCAAAGGAAGAATACAAACAAAACAGCTAAGGCCAGGATTAAAAAGAATGTGCACTTACCCCGGTATGAACTCAGTACCATCTGCTGGGCAAGGTCCCAAACCTTGATGCTAACAAGCAAAAGGAAACAGATCCTTAATTTTGACCTACAGTATCTACAAAAACACACGTGTTCAAACAAGAGCTTCCTTTAACTGACATGTCCTATGTCACTGCCTATTGGGCTTCTGAAAAGGCCTATTCACAATGAATTTCAGTATCTCTAAGGAAATGTTATAGACATGTCATAATAAATCACTGTGTTCTTACAGTAAGCCCAAAACATTACTTGGAGAGGCTAATAGGATAGTAAAGACACCCAAAGGACGTCTCATTGCAGGAGCAATGAGCACAAGGACCCACCAGAAGTCTTTGCTACCGCTGACAGCCTGCGTGCCAGAGCTCAGGACACTGACTGTAGACACGATGTCATCATGCTCATACTTGCAGAACTTGCTGACAATGAGTGTCTCGTTCTCGTCCAGTTCCCACAATTCAACAGCACCTGTTGGGAGTGGGGAGAAGGTTGAGGGAAATGAGTGTGGATATCACCAAGACAGTAATTCACTTTCAGGATTTTTCTTTTTTTTTTTTTTTTGTAAAAGGTTTTTTATTTATTTATTTACGATAGTCACAGAGAGAGAGAGAGAGGCAGAGACACAGGCAGAGGGAGAAGCAGGCTCCACGCACCGGGAGCCCGATGTAGGATTCGATCCCGTGTCTCCAGGATCGCGCCCTGGGCCAAAGGCAGGCGCCAAACCGCTGCGCCACCCAGGGATCCCCCACTTTCAGGATTTTTCAAGTGAGTCCACTGTCACTAAACTAACAAAGTAAGCTATCGCTATAAAACCAAATCCGGGGATCCCAGGGGGGGCTCAGCAGTTTAGCGCCTGCCTTCAGTCCAGGGTGTGATCCTGGAGATCCGGGATCGAGTCCCGCGTCAGTCTCCTTGCATGGAGCCTGCTTCTCCCTCTGCCTGTGTCTCTGCCTCTCTCTCTCTCTTTCCCTCTGTGTCTCATGAATAAATAAATAAAATCTTAAAAAAAAAAAAAAAAGCAAAATCCACTGTCACAAGAGGATTCAGCTAATTACCAAGCCAACTGGTTTTATTCTGGCATTACTGTTTTCTTAATAATGGTTCAAACAATTTGGTGAGGAAAGCTTCCAGAAAGACAAGGAAAGATGGAATGGCTGGTAAAATCCGTTATCTGGCTTCCAGTGAGAAAACTCTAGAGAGTAAGTGCGAGGAGACATGGATAAAGTGTCAGCAATCTGTGTAGCACACAGTCCAGTGTGGTTTAATCTTCCCAATTACTTGGACATTAATATTCGTTAAACAATTTGAATAAACACCTTATAACTCCTCTAAAAATATTGTGAATAACTGAACGTCTTGCACTGTGACAGAGTAAGTACAGAGAACCCCCCAAGTTATCTTAGATATGTGGTGCTCAAGCTCAATTGTCCAAGGCTCCATCTGTAATGTCCCACTTTTATCCTTCCATGCAACGCCTGCCAATCTTCAAATTCTGATTTTTTTCATTCCAAAGACCCTATTGCTGAACTTGACTTTCAAAGCAAGCAAAGCAGAATGAAGACATTTAAAGAGAAGAAAATGGGAAGAAATGGAAAGAGCACAGACTGCTTACGCATCATCTTTAAGACCAAGATTATCCTTGGTCTGGGTTGAGAGGCGATGCCGGGAAGTTTACCGAAAAGAAAAATGGTTCTGATCCACTTCTTAATTTTGTTAGAAATTCCCACCAGGCAATTCAAAATATCGGAAAAGCATTTTCCTGCTACACAAGACGTCTCCTTCGGAGCAGCACCCTGAAGGTCCCCGAAGCACGAGGTGGGACGGCAAAGGCTGCGCCGGTGCAGCCGCGTCCCGTCCGTCACCGCACCCGAGGGCTGGGGAGAGTCACTCACCCGAGTCGGAGGCCACCAGGATACCTCTGTCCCCAACCCACGCGAGGTCGGCCACTCCGGCCTCCGTCTGCACTCCGGCGGAGCAGAAGCCTTCGTTGGGGGCGGCGCAGGGGTCCTTGAAGAGCCAGAGGGAGCCGGCCCAGCAGCGGCCGCTGAGGCTGGAGGCGCCGAGCAGGAGCGCCCCGTCTAGGGAAGCGCGAGCCGTCAGCGCGGGAGGCGGCCCCGCTCGTCTCCACGGCGACCGCAGGCTGCGGCGGCCGGGGGCGGGAGGGGGACGGAAGGGGGGACCGGGCGGGGGTCGGGGGCTCGCGGCGCGGCGGGGCGGGGCGGGAGCGCGGGGAGGGCCGGGCCCGGGGGGCGGCTCACCCGACCGGTAGCGCGCAGCCTCCAACTGCCGTTCCATGCAGGCGGGCGCGTTAGGGGGGAGGCTCCACTCGCGGGCCGCTGGGGGCACCAGGGGGGGCGGCGTTTCCTTCCGCATCGCCACCGCTCCGACTCCAACCGAGACCCCAAACCGCACGCCCGCCGGAGCTCGGCGCCGGCAGCCCCCACGTGGTGCCCCTGCGGGCCCCCGCCCCTCTCCGCAGGCTCGGGCCGCTCTACATCTCGCGAGAAGTGCTTCTACGCTCGCCCTCCGCCGTCGGCAGCGCCCTCTGGCCAAAGGTTCATCCGGCTCCACGCCTCGTATCGCGAGAAAAAAAAAGTCGAGGCAAAGTTAATGGACAGAGGGCGCAATGCTCTCGTCTCGCGATACTTGTGAGCGGCCATCTTGCTCCCGCCTCTGACGGAGCGCCCGGTCCGGGTCATTGGGACGCAGAGGACCCTGCGTGGACCCTCGTTGAACATGCTGCGCCGGGTGGTGCTTTCAGCGGCCGCCGCAGCGGGTGAGAGACCTACACCCTGGTCCGGACTGTCAGGGAGATTGCAAGGGGGCGCGTCTAGGGTTATTGGAAGCGGTGGAAGGAGCGGGCGTGCAGAAGGGCGCAGCGGACTCGGGCCTCGGTGGCATGGGAATCCCCCCGCCGGGGTGGCGCGGGGGTGTCGGGCGGGCCCCGCGGGGGCGGGGGCGCGGACGGGGCGGATCGGACTCCACCTTGACTTTGCTGACCGCGCTTTGTTTACGTGCAGCGCCCTGTCTGAGGAACGCAGCCCTCCTCGGCCCGGGGTAAGTGAGGGCAGAGCCCCTCCCTCCGCCCTGTCCTGCGCCGCACTGCACCTCTCTGGGACCCCTCTGAGCTGCAGGCCCGCAGTCGCCCTTCGTTAGGTGATCTAGAAAGGCCTAAAGCTCATCCCGGCAGTGCTGCTCCGTGGCCGCCTGCAGCGTTGTCGTGTCGTCCCCCGGCAAAGACTAAGGGGATAAGCGCTGTGTTGTGACCAAACTAGAAGCCAGGCTTGGGGTCCTCGAAGCTCCGCCCTTGACCTTCAGCTAGGCTTACGTGCTACAGCGGGAATCCGGAGCTTCTAAAACAAGTTTCCTTAAGTAAAACCGGAAAGCATATTATTTTTAGTCTCTCTCTCAGATTCCAACTTTTACAGAGAAATCATTCACGGATTCTGTGAATATTTATCTTGCCAGCTACATAACCAGATAGAAAAATGAGTGAGGCTGACGTGCGTATGTGGAGCTCACCTCCAGGGGTCGCAGCTCCAGCGTAGCGGGTTCGAGCAAGGGCGGAAGCTACAGTAACGCCCGGTTTCTCCCCTGAACAAGCTGCGGGACCTCGATCTCCTCTGTAAAATGGAGATAATCGTACGTTATGGGTTAGAACTAAGAGACTGAATTCCTGTAAAATTCTGAAAACAGTGCTCAGTATACACCGTGTGCTTAGTGTTGGCATCTGTTATTAATGTTCCGTAAATCCTATTAATTTCTTTTGGAATTCTCTTTCTGCTTCCAGACTTAGACTTAAATCTTGCCAAACATAATGACTTTATGCCTTGAAAAAATGGCTTTTAATTCATCTGATTAATTTTTGTCTGCACAATAAAGTGAGGCTACAATTGCTCCCAACATATCAGAGAAAAAAGAATCCATACAGACAAGTAAACAATTTAAATATGAGTCACAAATAAAATGATTACAGTGTAAGATACAAGGAATGTACTCAATTTCTCCTCGTTTTCACATTCTATATGTCAGCAAGGCTGTTTCCTCCAAATTATATCTGGACTCTAACCATTCTTCCACTGCCACTGCTGTGAACGCCCATCAGTTTTCACCTGGTCTATTTCAGTAGTCTCTTAACTAGTCTTCTTACATGTCTATTTTTGTCCCACAACAGCCCATTCTTCTACTAGCCTTAGGGATTACGTAAGCCCCGGGCCCCAACAAAACCCTTCAGAGCTCCTCTTTCCACAACTTCAATACAATGTGAATCCTGGGACCTTGACTGCTCATTGCTGTACCCCTAGCACCTGACATACAGGTGAATGAATGTAAGATTGGAAAGGGCTTTATAAAGGATACCCTTGAGATGTTCTGAAGGCTGGGTGGGCTTGGCAGCCATTTAGTGAGACACACCAGGCTGAAAGAGCAGCATGAGGCATGTTTTTGGTTTTTTTGGGGGGTGGGGTGGGGAGCTATATATTTATAGCTGTGTGTGTGTGTGTGTGTGTAAATATATATTTAGATATGTATGTATATATTTACTTATTTATGTATAGTTCCATATGGCTGGAGGATAGGAGAATGAAGGAAGATGAGGATATAAAATCTGACAGGTGTTGAATCATGTACGCCATGTTAAAGATTTTGTTTTCTGTAGGCAGGAGAGCCTGTTGAGTTTTTTGTCTTATAAGATTTTGCTTATTCATGAGAGACACAGAAAGGCAGAATCAGGCTCCCACGGTGAGTCCATGCAGGACCTGATCCCTGGGATCATGACCTGAGCCAAAGATAGACGCTCAACCACTGAGCCACCTGGATGTCTGGAGCCTGTTGAGGTTTTTTGGGTTTTGGGTTTGTTTTTGTTTTTAGTTTTTTTTTTTTTTTAAGATTTTATTTATTCATGAGAGATACAGAGAGAGAGGCAGAGACACAGGCAGAGGGAGAAGCAGGCTCCATGCAGGGAGCCTGACAACCACTGAGCGACTCAGGTGCCTGAGCCTGTTGAGTTTTAAAGTCAAATTTACATTTTAAAAACATTGGCACTAATGTGGAGGAGCTAAGTTTTTTTGTTTTTTGTTTTTTTAATTTTTATTTATTTATGATAGTCACACACAGAGAGAGAGAGAGAGAGAGAGGAAGAGACACAGGCAGAGGGAGAAGCAGGCTCCATGCACCGGGAGCCAGATGCGGGACTCGATCCCGGGTTGGAGGAGCTAAGTTTAAAGGGGTATTTGTTGAGAAGCAGAGAGAGACCAGGGTTTGGATTATTAAGTAGTTTAGGCCAGAGATGATGAGGGCTTAAATTAAGATAGCTAGTTCAAGAGAGGATTTGAGTTGGCCTGAAATATTTATTTTATTTGTTTGTTTGTTTATTTTGGCCTGAACTATTTAAATACGTGGTTCTGGGTGGCTCAGTGGTTGAGTGCCTACCTTTGGCTCAGAGCGTGATTCCAGAGTGGGGGGATCGGGTCCCATATCGAGCTCACTGCATGGAGCCTGCTTCTCCTTCTGCCTATGTCTCTGCCTCTCTCTCTCTCTCTCTCTCTCTCTCTCTCTGTCTCTCATGAATAAATAAATAAAAATTTAAAAATAAATGAAAGAACCTCGAACATGATTCTCAAATTACAAAAGTTGGTGGGCTAGCTAAAACATAGGGAAGCAGAAATAACCTTCAAACGATAAGCAGCTAACCAAAATCAATTAACTCATATAAGCCCTTACCTTGCAAAGGGATAGAGGTTGAGTGGGGAGGTGGGGGATAAAAAACATAGAGAATTTGAAGGAGACTGAGGTTGACAGCGTGTATAAAAAGACGAGGATTTTATTTCATCATAATTTTAATGAAATGGTAATATGTTGTAACTGCTAAAAATGCAGTCCGGAATATGAGAGTAGTTTACAAATCTATGATAATACAATAATTTAAGGTGAGTTCTGTATACCTCACTGTAGTAAACAAAACCGGGCAGCTTCTTGTGAACTGTCAGGATTGTGAGAGAACGGAGATGGTTAACCCAGATACATGGAAATTCTATGTGTTACACAGAAAAATGGAATTAATGAATAGAGATTTCAAGTATGTACACAGCAGTTCCATTTAAAGATGAACATAATTAGAGCTACCCCACACCGAAAAGGCTTGTTTCACACAATGGTTAGTTAGCACCCCATCACAGAGAATACTCAAGTCAAAGTTCTTGCCATCAAGATGCTCACAACACAGTGAATATATAATAGCTATTTGCTTACATATTCTACTGTATGCTTAGCACCATTTGAAGCTCTTTACCTAAAATCTTCAGAGCAACCCTGTAAACTCATTCTTTATTCCCACGCTACCTAGAGAAATCCGTGATTACAAAAGATTAATCTACTTGCTCAAAGTCAAGTGGCAGGTCTAGGATTTAAAGCCAGATAATCAGGCAGCCTGGGTGGCTCTGCGGTTTAGTGCCACCTTCAGCCCAGGGTGTGATCCTGGAGACCTGGGATCGAGTCCCACGTCAGGCTCCCTGCATTGAGCCTGTTTCTTTCTCTGCCTGTGTCTCTGCACATCTCTCTCTCTCTCTCTCATAAATCTTTAAAAAAAATAATAAATAAAGCCAGGTAATCTGACTATAAAATCTATGTTCTTACATATTGGAATTCTAATAATAAACATACAAAGTGCTAGACAGATGACTTTTAAGACCTACAGAAGGGCTTTGAGTATCGATTGGGTAGAAAGTTATATACAACTTTACTCGGGACGCCTGGGTGGTTCAGTGGTTGAGCGTCTGCCTTCAGTCCAGGGCCTGATCCTGGAGTCCTGAGATCGAGTCCCACATTGGGCTCCCTGCATGGAGCCGCCTCCTGCGTCTACCTGTGTCTCCGCCTCTCTCTCTCTCTCTCTCTCTCTCTCTCTCTCTGTATCTCTCATGAATAAATAAGTAAAATCTTTATAAAAAACAACTTTGTTTGCCTGCCACAGCTAATTATTAGACCCTAACTTTCCCATTCCTGGTCTATTCTCTTTGCATTATGACAGTAGCAAACTGCCTCAGTCCTCATCCCCATTCTTTCTACTAATTGTGCATATGTTATGTTCTCTTTAAATTTGTGTGATTGCTACCCCTAGGGCATTGCAGGCGACAAGGATCTTCCACACAGGGCAGCCGAGTCTTGCACCTGTACCCCCTCTTCCTGAATATGGAGGGAAAGTTCGTTTGGGCCTGATCCCCGAAGAATTCTTCCAGTTCCTTTATCCCAAAACTGGGGTAACAGGTGAGCATTTGCCCAGCGTTTGATAGTACATTTAGGTGGTATAGTTTGTTTATCTAGGATTTGGTGGTCTCTTACCTCTTCCGCGTATGCACAAAAATGAAGTCAAAGGTAGATTGTGGATGTAATTCAATGTAACAGTTGTGATTTGGTTGCCCTGATTTGTCTGTGGTAAATGTGGTTGGGATTTTCACTTGATTTTATACCATTGTCTCCATTTGTTGATAAATGAGTCACTGAATGCCTGCTCTGTGCCAAGTACTCTTCTAGGCATAGACCGTGAGCTGAGGTGCCTGCCTTCCAAGGAACACACATTCTATTATAGGATAAGCAGGAAAGAGATGAGTAACTGTATAATATATCGTCAGGTGGTGGAAAGAGCTGTGTATTAAAGTAGGGTTTATTAAATTGTATAAGTAAAAACAGAAGTTGGGCAATATGTATCAGGGTTCCCCCCCCCTTTTTTTTTTTAAGATTTTATTTATTTATTCATGAGAGACACACACACACACAGAGGCAGAGACACAGGCAGAGGGAGAAGCAGGCTCCATGCAGGAAGCCTGATGTGAGACCCGATTCCGGGTCTCCAGGATCACATCCCAGGCCAAAGACAGTGCTAAACCGCTGAGCCACCGGGGCTGCCAGTTTTTTGTTTTGTTTTTTTTTTTCCTTTTAATAAAGCATACACTCTTCTGAAATCTTACATTTTCATAGTGCAGTCTGCTTTCACTTAAATTATTTAATCCTCATAGTAGTCCTGTAAGAATTTTGTTACCAAAAAGAACTAGAAACTAAAGTATGGGCTGAGATTTATTCTTTCTAGTTTATGAGTTGGCCTTAAACCCAAGTTCCTACTTCCGAATTCTTGTGCCACCTACTGCTGTGAGGAGGGGATTCTGGAAGCCAAGGGTTGTTTGTTTTTTTAAACCTCCAGAAGGTGACCGAAAATAGGGTTTCTGTAACTGAAATTGCAAGAAACATTAGGGTCCTCAGATCCCCACAGGTGATTAAAATATTACCAACAATAGGCTTTCTTGCAAATTCACATTTAAAGTTTTGAATTTACGTTCAGCTTTAAGATTTATATATTAGAGACAAATTTTTAAAAGAGCTATTGAAACTTTTTATGGGAAACTGGATAAAATACATTTGAGACCCTTATTCTTGTGTTACATCCTTTGGTATTCATTTTACTCAGAAACACTGTAAAATGCTGCCTTAAGGAGGCAGCTTTGTCCTTCCCTAGCTCTTCTGAGGCACAACAGAAAATCCTAAAGAAATGTACATCATGGTTTTATGTCCTTTCAGAACTCAACATTGGTTAAAGAAAAAGATAGCTATATTTGAAGCATTATAACTAGGTGTTACAGGAATTGAGAATCCTGATTCATCCTAATAGATAAATACTACTTTTTGGGGGGGGATTTTTGTTTGCTTGCTTGCTTGCTTATTTCTAGTGTCAGGTTCCTCCTATTCAGTAAAAATAGGCAGGACCGGATAAATTTTATCCTTACCAGTGTTCCCATTCAATAAATAGTATATCTTGCACAAATTACTTAAGTAGTTGTACTAGGCACTTTACATACATTATTTCTCAGTTTCATCCACCCTGTGAAGAAAGTATTATTCCCATCTTACAGATGAGGAAACTAAACTGAAAGATTATTTATATCATTCAGTTTCTTCTGTGTTGCAGAGTCAGATTCCCTGATCTAGATCCTTTTTTTCAGCGCTACCACACTGCTCCTCAGTACAGGGTTATTTTTAATCCAGTTGCTTTAAATCATTACATAACACCTTCAACTAATCAGATGTAGAACTTTTTGTCTTTCCTTTCAGATGTAGTATATCCATCATAAAATAACTTTTCCTTCTTTTAGGACCCTACGTGCTTGGAACTGGACTTATCTTATATTCTCTGTCCAAAGAAATATATGTGATTACTGCAGAGACCTTCTCTGCCATATCAACAATAGGGTTGCTTATCTATGTAGTTAAAAAATACGGTGCCTCTATTGGAGAATTTGCTGATAAACTCAGTGAGGTAAGAACTGTAAACCTTATTTCTCATTTTAGACTATTAAAAGCATCCATACCATCAAGTGATGTTTCTGATGTTCATGTTAGGGGACAAGCATATAGAAATGAATCTAATTACGATGATTAAAGTTATAAGTGTTAATGTTGGTTATTAATTTGAGATAAATACTTTTAAGTCTACCAAACTGTCCAGTTTTTTCATAGTTTTGCTCATTCGACAAGATACTTCATAGTTATTGTGAGCAATTATCTTTAAGGATTTGTGCATGTCTCCCAGTATATGTTTCTTCATGAGTGATTTTCACAAATGAGGAATATAACTTTGAGGAAGCATAGAATGAAGCTATTTTTGTTACTCTCTCTGTTTTCACTGATCTTTGTTGTAAAATCATAATTGCAGCAAAAAATCGCCCAACTAGAAGAGGTGAAACAGGCTTCCATTCAACAGATCCAGGATGCAATTGATACAGAGAAGTCACAGCAGGCACTGGTTCAAAAGCGCCATTACCTTTTTGATGTCCAGAGGGTAGGTTTCAGAACCTTTTAAGGAAAATAAAGTTAACCCGTTTGTGTGCATTTAAAACAAAAATCAAATTTTATGAGAATTGGTTGAATATGTTGAGCATATAGTATTTAGAAAAGAGGTGGGGTTTGGCAATTACAAGTATTTAGATATTTAATATCTATCAAGTGGATAAATAGTTACTCTAAAATTAGAGTAAAGGTTATAAAAACATATTTTTGGATCTACACAGGACAGTAGCCATTAAATTATAGCTGACTAAAAAATGGTATTCACTATCTAAGGCCATAGGTGGAATACATGCTGTGCATTTCATATGTGCTCGCTATGAGGAACTCTTACTTGACTTACTTACAGTGAGAAAATCTGATACTTTAGATTCCAATTCACAAACCAAATTCAGATAGCTGTAAAGCTTTTTTACTGTGGTCAAGGCATCATTAGATTCTAAAATACACTTCATCTCTGAAACATTTCTAGGAATATGCTCAAGTATTTTTGTTTAAACAATCACATTGTTACCTACTTTGAGCCCTTGCTTTATTTTATGCCTTTTATAGTGAGATGCCCTATAATTGAAATTTTATGCTAAAGAAGCACATATGAAATGAAAAATGAGGTGCTAAGGTAAAGTATATGAAGTATTAAGGATCTAGGCCAGTATTTCTTAGTGTGGTTTGTAGTACCACATGTATCAGTCCTCTTTGGTGCAGGTTTATGAACCCAGCCCAAGACTTTGTAGATTCAGAACCTGTGTTAGGGACTGTCTAAGAATCTAGATTTTAAAAAACTGATCCCTAAAGATTCTTAAGCACATAAATGTTTAAAAAATCTCAGGAAACTTTATAACCTCTTTCTGTACATACTTAGGTTTCAACCAGAGAATCCTTCCTACCTCATACATGATATGTACACACACAAAATTTGACTTTTGAAGATGTAGCCCTTTCATAAGAATCAGATGGTAGTCTTTATATTTTTACTTATTTTTGAAATATTTAGTGACTACTGATAGAGCTCTTCCTGTGTGAGACTCTGGCAGGTATTTGGGAATAAAAGAAAGTCTGCTTTTATGGAGTCTGCTTTCGAGCCAGGAGTTAAGGGGACAGAGAAAAAAAATAACTGAGCAGATAAAGAATATCAACTGGTCATAAGTGCTATGTAGAACAACAAACTAGGAAAGGAAATGAGAGGGAGTTAGTTTTATTGGGCAGTCTAGAGAGGCCTCTAATATGATACTTGAACAGACACCTGAAGAAATGTTGGTGCAAGCTGTGTGGACTTCTGGGGAAATAGTATTACAGCAGAGTGAAGAAAAATTGCAAGGGCCCAAAACCTGGAAGCTTATTTGGTATGGTCAAGGAATAGTAAGGAGACCAGAATAGTTGAAGCAAATGGATGAGGAGGAGAAAAAGCAGAGAGTGGTCAGGGGCTAAATTGGGTCAAGTCTTGTAGACTTCTCTGTGGACTCTTACCTGTCCTCTGAATAAGAAAGTCATTGAAGCTTTTAAGCAGAGGAGTAACACCATCTCACTTGTCTTTTGAAGGGTCACTCTGATTGCCTTGTTGGAAATAGCCTTCGGTCTGGTAGCGTTGGTTTGAAATGCCTGCCAATTAGCCAAGTAGAGTTATGTGGTATAGACCATTACATAATATATGAGTCTGGAATTTATGGGGAGAATTCCAGGCTGAAGATTGGGGAGTCACGAGCTGACAGGTGGCACTTAAAAGTTATAAAACAAGAACATGGTGAGGGAAAACCGGTGACAAGGACAGTTCCAGTGTGTAGTCATCCTAGTTGTTATGGTCAAGAAATAAAGGGCCTAAAATTTGCCATGGATTTAGCAACATGGAGGTTGTTGGTGACCTTGTAAGGGCTATTTTTAGTAAAGTGGTGGGAGTTGCTTGAAGAAAAAGTAGAAGGGAAGAAATTGAAGTCAGAGTATAGACAACTGTCAAAATTGTCAAGGAGTTTTATTGTAATGGGAGGCAAAGAAATCAGTTGCTAAGCAGAATAATTCAGAGAAAGACAAATACCATATGATTCCACTTGTGGGATTTAAGAAACAAAACAAATGAACATGGGAGGAGAAAGGCAAACCAAGAGGTAGACTCTTAGCTGTAGAGAACAAACTGATGGTTATTTGGCTGGGGGGGGGGGAGTGAAGTAGGTGATGGGGATTCAGGAGTACACTTTGCTGCGATGAGCACAAGGTGATGTATGGAAGTGTTGAATCATTATATTGCACTCCTGAAACTATTACTACATTGTATGTTAACTAATTGGAATTTAAATAAAAACTTGAAAGAGAAAAAAAATAAAAATTAAAAAAAATAAAAATAAAAATTTTAAAAATTCAGAAACTATAAGGGGAAAATTTGTTGTTGACTTCACAAAAATTTTTTATATAAAAATTAGCATAAACAAAGTTAAATGACAAACTGGGAAGAATGTGTGGGTTCCATATGACACAAAAGGGTAGTTCTTCTGGAGAGACCAATATCCCAGTAGAAAACTAGGCCTAGGACACAGACCATTCATAAATACATGTAAATGATTTCTAAATATGTCAATGTTCTTAGATAGTGACAGTTAAAATTCGTATTTTTTCTGCTTCTGAGAATAGAGAGTAAAAGGTTTTATAGTTATCATTGGTCAAGGTGTGATAGGCATTTGTGTTGCTGGTAGGACAATGACGTAGCACAATTTTATGTGGAATGTGACAGTGTTAATTAAAGAGCATCAGCTTTATAGCCTGGCTCCTTGTATTCAGATCTTGGCTTGCTTCACAGTTTTTTAGCTCTGTACAAATAGAACAACCTTGGACAAATTCCATAGCTTCTGCCTCAATTTCTTTACTGGAAGTTGGATATAATAATAACTATGCCATGGTATGATTATAAGACTAAATTGACACATAGTTTGTAGAACATAGATAATCAACATGTTATTAGAGCAAGTATTTACACATAAGTGCAAAGACAACAGATGTAGCATTATTTCTAGTAGAAAAAATTTTGAAGCAGTCTAATGTATTCATAGAGCTTGGTTAAATAAACTGGATTACGGGACACCAGTATAGTAGAATTCAACGTAACTTAAAATTGTGGTGGGTCTTTATGTCATAATTCGTAAAAGTGATGTGTGTGTGCATGTGCATACCTGCCTATACCTGTATTTTGTTTATTGAAAATTTCTGTGAGGGAGTTACAGGACTTACAGGAAGATGGTGGCCTTGGGTGGGCTGGAAGAAACTTACTGTATATACTTTTTTTTTTTTTTTAAGGTTTTATTTATTTATTCATGAGAGACCCTGAGAGAGAGAAGCACAGGCAGAGGGAGAAGCAGGCTCCCTGCAGGGAGCCTGACGGATTCGATCCCGGGTCTCCAGGATCAGGCCCTGGGCTGAAGGCAGGCGCTAAACTGCTGAGCCACCCAGGGATCCCATTGTGTATACTTTTAAATATATTTTTACCACATCCTAGCAGAGTTTGTTTAGCACATGTATCTCTTACCCATTCATATTAAGTAAAACCATTTTGCATAAAGTACAAGAAAGTGGTGGGGTATTCTAACCAGCGGAATCGCAGAGTGGAAGTGACCCTTCAACGATGCAGACTTTTTCATCAATTCTTAATTTTGCTTCAGAATAACATTGCTATGGCACTGGAGCTCACTTACCGGGAACGGCTGCATAGAGTGTACAGGGAAGTGAAGAATCGCCTAGACTATCACATCTCTGTGCAGAATATGATGCGTCGAAAGGAACAAGAACACATGATAAACTGGGTGGAGAAGCATGTGGTGCAGAGCATATCTGCCCAGCAGGTACATGGTGTCCTGAAGTTTCTGGAATTGTATTGACTTCTCACAAAGCTCTGCTGATGCTCTGGTACAATAGGAATAGCTGGCAAGGAGTCATTAGCCTAGAGACAATGGGGTCACCCTGCTTCATTGTTCTGGGAAGACACTGCACAGCTACCTTGGTGGCCTTCCTCTTCCTCAGAATTTGGTCACCAAAGGGTCTCTTGCTGTCAGAGACAGTGACAGTTGAGAACACTGTGGTACACTTATATTCAAGTTCTGTCACTTAGGAAATGCTAACCAACATAGTTCATTTCTCTGTACAATAGACTGGATAAAGCTATTTCTGAGTCCCTTTCATTTCCTAATTCCATGATCTCTATTCCATTTCCTCTTCCCAGCCACTTACATCATTGGTCTTGAACAGAAAAGAAATGTTTATTACTCACCTAAATTTGTTTTCCTTTTCTAAAGTTTATATATTTTTTTTATTATGACTTGATTTCTCTCCCAAATATATAGAGTATGTAGGTATTTATGACCATTTTCTGTTATAATCATCAGGGATTAGAAGAAGTGTTTTAATTGTCTACCAACAATTAAAGGATTTTTTTTTCCAGTAAATTCTTTTTTTTTTTTTTTTTTTTTTAATGATAGTCACACAGAGAGAGAGAGAGGCAGAGACATAGGCAGAGGGAGAAGCAGGCTCCATGCACAGGAGCCCGACGTGGGATTCGATCCTGGGTCTCCAGGATTGCGCCCTGGGCCAAAGGCAGGCGCTAAACCGCTGTGCCACCCAGGGATCCCTCCAGTAAATTCTTTTGCATAAAAGTAACATACTTAGGAATTGAGGAAAACACAAAAAAAATAAGAGACAAAATTTTTATTCTTGACATTTCTGTGATTGTTGTTAGGCTGCTGTTTTTCAAGCAGCTGTTAGCTATGCAAGCTAACATTGTTGGCACGTGGTTATAGCAGCATCTGGCTTCCCGTTCTATATAGATTTCACTCATAAAAGCTGTGAGCCAGGGGATTTTTAACTAATTCCCTGGATTTGCTTAGAATAAATTGCATCTCTCTGTGGTACAGAAAATATTCCTAGTAATCTGCCATGTCATTTTGAGATTGTGTAGGAATCTCAAGATCTTCTAGGAGGTATCCTTTAGAATTACAGTGTTTTGTGCCCTTCTTTGATCTAGAGACGTCTAAACAGATTTTTCTTTCCTTGTCACAGGAAAAGGAGACAATTGCCAAGTGTATTGCAGATCTAAAGCTGCTTGCAAAGAAGGCTCAATCACAGCCAGTTCTCTAAATGCATCTATCCCGGTGGAGAGAGCTAGAAGCAATTAACTAGCCTGTGACATCTTTCTGTTAACCTTTCCTAAAATGAAAAGTTTGTTTCATATAGTGAGAAAATTAAAATGATCTATTTGCCAGTGAGAGGTTTTTCATCCTTCTTGCTTGTATTTTGAGTTCCATGATCACTTTTGAAAGACCAGTTTGCTTTTAATAAAATTTGTTGGCTAAGACTACCAAGTTATAGCTTAAACTTGTAATTAATTCTACTATCTTGCACTTTATAAGTGACAGTTAAAACTAGATTTTTCAAGTTGCATAATATTCTGAACTATTTTAACATATGGCTAAAAATTAAACATGTCATTGAACTGATAATTCAGTGGTAAACTATTTCTGGCTAACAGGTAATAGGAAATTTAAAGCTTTTTATTAATCTTAAAATAACTAAAGAAAACGTGTATCAAGTCACATTATTGGTTTTATTGTTTTAGTAATATGTCATGGAAAATATTATGAACCTGATGTGTCATAAAATTATCGTAAAGAGTCTAGCATTAAAGTCAGAAAATTCTGCCTTTCCATAGGTTTGTCTGCATTTCTATAAGGATATGCTTATACACAAAGGACGACTTTAATAGGAAATATTTGGAAATGTGTACCATTTGGATAACTGCTATTTTCACTGACTTCCTAGGATTTTAATTTATGTAACAGTCGATTTCGGGTCAGTATTTATTGATAGCTAATGTATTCCTCTGCTATAGAAATCAGATTGACATCTTTATTGTTACTTTAATAGAGGTTTTCCAAATTATTTGTTTCACAAAGGATTTATAAATGCCTAATTTGTGCTAAGTACCATCCTGCACTGGTCATATGGAGATAAAATTTCCTCCTAGAAAGTCAAAATTCTAGAAAGGCATAAGAATATACGAACAATAGAGACTCTAGCACAGGTGCTTTGAGATTATAATGACAAGTACCATTTCACAAGCCTCGTTTTTCTTGTATGTAACTGTCAGCATTCAGTCAGAGAAGCAGAACTAATAGGGTATAGTAATTTAAGTAGGCTTATATGGGATTGGACTTGATGCTGTTGTGGGAGCTGGTCAAGCATGGCTCTGCAAGGCTGTTAACCTTTGTTTCTGATGTAACAGCTTGAAGTCCACAGGGCAGGCTGTAAAGAGGGAAGATGGATGTAAAGTGGGAGACATGGGAACAAGTAGAAATCACAAGCACAGACTGAAACCCTTGTCATTTTTATTACCTCTGGCTTTGATGGTATGACTCCTGGAAGGAAAAGTCTCAGTCCTTTATCACACATACCTTGTCCAAAGTTTAGAAAAGCTGAAGAATGATCCAGGGGAAGGTTGAGAAGTTGCAAGCTCAGCTACAGCTGGTGAGCCCCACATCAGCATTAAATGTATGAGCTACTAAATAGCTGTGGCTTCACATCGGCCCTCTAAAGTTGCTCAAGAATTGAATGCTTACTCTAACCAAAACATTCGGGGACAAGAATTCTGGAAAGTTCAGCCTAACACACTTGACACATTACAAACCACCACAATAATTAGCATATTAATAAATGTTAACCTGAATGAATAATACTTAAAGACTAATCTCAAGAAGCCCTTGAACATCAGTAAAACATGGAGAGAGCAGAAAGGTGACAGGTCAGAAAAGAAAGGCTGAGCGGGCATTTGAAAGAGGAGGTTCACCAAGAGTGAGAGGTGGGTCCAGAAAGGAGTGGCATTCGTGATTGTAGAAAAGCTAATGTAGGAGAGTAGCATTTTTGAAACTCAAGTTATTTATGAAATATAAATAGGACATATATTGGGGTCCTTAAATGCTGTGCTTTGAAGTTGGGTTTTGTTCTGAGGAAGGGAGCCAGTGAACAGGTTTTAGCACAAGAATGACTAGATTTTTCAGAAAAGTAATTCAACAGTGGAGGACAGTTTACAGAGAGGCAAAGCTGGTTTGGCTCTGGGATCATTCAAGCCAAAAGACCTTAAAGACCTTAACTAAAGGCAGCATTAGTGAGACTTGACTGTGCCTATGGAAGAAGGGAACCATCAATATGAGTCACAGCTTTCTTAGAAGAGAACAGGTGGTAGTATTGTTCCTGTGATTTGGGGTACAGGACTAACTATGATTGGAAGGAAAATGAGGCTGAGTATAGAGCCATGAAGGAACGAACATCAGTGTTTGAGAAATGGCAGAGGATTTAGCAAAAGAAGGAATGGCCAGTTATTGAGGAAAACCAGAAGAGAACAGTGTCATAAACTCAAGACAGCAGAGAGTTCTCTATCAGAAGAGCCACTTTTTCAAGGGCATTAAGAGGACTTCATAGCTTGAAAGTCTTTGGTGGCCCCTCTTAGAGTAGTACTTGTGAACAGCAGGGACAGAAGGTAAATTACAGTCGTGATAAAGGATTGAAAGACTGAGGAAATAGACGTACATAGAGTAATTTCCAGTAATTTCACCCTCACTTGTACTGTCTGCACGTGTATTGGATACCTTACAGGCATCTCAAATGTAAGTTCAAATATCTCTTAGTCTCCACCCCCCGCCTGCTTTTCTCTGTCTTCTCTATCTCAGATAATGGCACCACCATTTACCCAAGTTGGTCAGCCCAAAAAACCAGGAGCATAATCCCTTTACTTTTCTATCAGTCCATCAGCAAGTCTTGTTACCTCTACTCAAAATTTTTCACAAATCTGTCCACTCCTACCACTGCCTGATCCAAGCTGCCATGTTTCACTTGGGCTACTGTGATTTTCTGTTGTCACACTTGCACCCCTTTTAACAATCCTCTGAAGCCAAAGTGAGCTTTATAAAATAAAAGTCGAGTCCTTTCACTCCCCTGCATTAAAAGTTGTAATGCCCTATCACATTTAGAATAGAATCTAATCCTTACTGTTATTTATAAGATGCTATATGATCTGATCGCCAACAATCTGACCTCACCTATCACTCTCCCTGTACTGCTCTGACCACCCTTTCCTTGCTATTCCTTAAACGTCTGAACTTGTCCAGTTTGCAGCCTTTGCACAAACTTACAGCTCTCAGACAGGTTGCCAGAGATGGCAAATATATACTGCTTCTCAATATGTGGGACAGCCAAGCTGTTAGAGTCCTCGGGCCAATGATTCCAGGCTAAGAACAGCTTCATCTAGGGCTTCTCATCAGGCCACTTGGTTGCAGCAGAGTCTGAGGAGAGCCCCACGGTCCCCAAAACCAGAGGACCGGATGAGTGATGTCCTCTGCTCAGCAACACTGAAACCTCGCTAAGAGAGTGCTATGCCACCTGGACATAAGAAATGGCGGCCAGTTGTAGGGCACATGCTGCTTCTGTTGGGCAAGGGGCCACAGATATATGTGCTGGGGGAATTTGTGTACCTATGGCCAAGGAGTATGGGACCCAAAGTGAAGCCAGTCAGTGGTGAGAGGAGGTGATAAGCCAAGCAGGATTTCTAGAGACAAAACTCCAATGCCCGGTCTAAATCTCTATCTTCAAATTAGAAATTTATTTCTATGTGCTACATGTAGCTTAGTACTTACAAACTGGCTGTATGGTGCTTGGCTGTGCAATCTGCATATTAGAGTATCATGATGCTTTTCTAAATACATGATATGAAGAAGTCCAATTGAAGTATTTTTGTATTAGCAATATAAATAGTTTATAATGTCAATGAAAAAAGGAAAATATTACATTCTTTTGTTAAAAGTTTTAGAGTGAGCATAAAAAATTTATTATCAATGATAATCCTCTGAAGACGATTCTAGTCAATCCAATCCCCTAATTCAGTGGAGGGGGTTCGTATTTTTTTATTGGGGTTCAATTTGCCAACATATAACATCGAGTGCTCATTCCGTCAAGTGCCCCCCTCAGTGCCCGTCACCCAGTCACCCCACGCACCCGCCCACCTCCCCTTCCACCACCCCTTGTTCTTTTCCCAGAGTTAGGTGTCTCTTGTATTCTGTCTCCCGCACTGATATTTCCCACTCATTTTCTCTCCTTTCCCCTTTATTCCCTTTCACTATTTTTTATATTCCCCAAATGAGTGAGACCATATAATGTTTGTCCTTCTCCGATTGACTTATTTCACTCAACATAATACCCTCCAGTTCCATCCACGTTGAAGCAAATGGTGGGTATTCGTCGTTTCTAATGGCTGAGGAATATTACACTGTATACATAGACCACATCTTCTTTATCCATTCATCTTTCAATGGACACCGAGGCTCCTTCCACAGTTTGGCTACTGTGGACATTGCTGCTAGAAACATCGGGGTGCAGGTGTTCTGGCGTCTCACTGTATCTGTATCTTTGGGGTAAATCCCCAGCAGTGCAATTGCTGGTCATAGGGCAGATCTATTTTTAACTCTTTGAGGAACCTACACACAGTTTTCCGGAGTGGCTGCACCATTTCACATTCCCACCAACAGTGCAGGAGGGTTCCCTTTTCTCCGCATCCTCTCCAACATTTGCGGTTTCCTGCCTTGTTAATTTTCCCCATTCTCACTGGTGTGAGGTGGGATCTCGTTGTGGTTTTGATTTATATTTCCCTGATGACAAGTGATGTGGAGCGTTTTCTCATGTGCTTGTTGGCCATGTCTATGTCTTCCTTTCCTATGAAATTTCTGTTCATATCTTTTGCCTATTTCATGATTGGATTGTTTCTTTGTTGTTGAGTTTAATAAGTTCTTTACAGATCTTGGATACTGGCCCTTTATCTGATAGGTCATTTGCAAATATCTTCTCCCATTCTGTAGGTTGTCTTTTAGTTTTGTTGACTGTTTCTTTTGCTGTGCAGGATCTTTTTATCATGATGAAGTCCCAATAATTCATTTTTGCTTTTGTTTCCCTTGCCTTCATGCAAGAAGTTGCTGTGGCCAAGTTCAAAAAGGGTATTGCCTGTGTTCTCTAGGATTTGGATGGATTCTTTTTGTTTGTTTTAATTATTTTTTTATTGGAGTTCAATTTGCAAACATAGAGCATAACACCCAGTGCTCATCCCATCAAGTGCCCCCTTCAGTGCCCGTCACCCAGTCACCCCATCCCCTGCCCACCTCCCTTCCTCCTGCATTTTCTCCCCTTTCCCCTTTATTCCCTTTCACTGTTTTTTATATTCCCCAAATGAATGGATTCTTGACTCACATTTAGATCTTACATCTATTTTGAGTTTATCTTTCTGTCTGGTGTAAGAGAATGGTCTAGTTTCATTCTTCA